AAAGGCTGATCTCGAGCCTGGAAAGTGGTTCAGGAGGTCCACGTCCTTCCCCTTCAGATGGCCCCTATGTCGCCTGCAGCCACGCTGAGAGATGATGTGACAGCCTCTGGCCTTCACTTTCCTCTAGAGGGGGAGCAAAGTGCACTGGCCCAATAGTCTTCAAGGTCATGGTTCTCTTTGTTTTCCTGTAATTTTGCTGCTGAATAATAACAAGAGCCCACATCTGTGGGCCACCAGATTTTCAGCCACCATCCAAGGCATCACCCTGAGCCGCTGAAGCTCAGAAGAGTAAGTGACATGCTCACGGTCACTCGGCCAGTTACCAGTGAAGCCCGAATCAAAGCCAGGCCTGTCTGGGTCTGAAGTCCATTCCCCTTTAACTTGCCCTGAGTTTTTTCCTCCTCAGAAGCCAGGAGCTCATCTCTGCTATAAATAGGTCGAGGAGAAAGAAAATAGCCAAGCGTGTATCTTTAGAATTCAGCGTCAACCTTCTTCCCTGCTGGAGCTGCAGAGCGGAGACCGCCATGGTCTGATCTTGCTCTTGCGGTCAAAGGGAGTGGACACTAGCCCAATAAGATCTTGCTCTTCAGAGTTTATGAACTTTACTTTTCTCATTTGATCTTTAAACTAATTCTATGAGGCTCCTAGAGAAGCAACGTGGTCCTCTTTTCACAGCTGGGCCATGGAGGCACAGGGAACTTGCACCAGGTGTCACAGGCCGACAGTGGGGAGGACAGACCAAAACTCCCTGCCTCCCATGCTACCTCCTGCCTGCACGAGCGTGGCCACCTGTTACTCACACACCAGCAAAGGAACTTTATATTTGCCTGGTGTTTTGCTCTATCGTCACTACAGTAACCGACAGTCGTGAATATATTTACTGAATATCAAAAGGCAAGTAATCCGGGAGCCCATTTCATTTACGGAAACAATTGTAATATCACAGAATCTACTTACCATGTCCACAAGTAACTTCCACAGGGGCTTGAAGAAAGAAAGAAAAGACGTGTTAAACGTACATGAAACGTACGTGTTTTTCTCCTGACAGTGAATGTACTGGTGAACTTGCACCCCCAGGCATCTGGGCCACTGTCTCTGGTGCCACCCACACCTCCCATGGCCATACGGCCCTTCACCTTGCTGTCCCTTCCCCTCCTCCTTTCTAGCTCACTCCCACAATTTCCTAACTACTGCCGAAATCTCTCAGGGGGAAAAGCAATCAAAACAATCTTTTTATTTCCTTTGGGGAGCCTGCGGTGCATTTGTCTTTTGCCTTTAGATGGCTACTTGTAGAGGAAGTCCCACGCCACACTGTACCACCAAGCCACCGAGCTGATGAGTTACCTTCCCTTCCTGCTTCGCCCACAGGTCCCACAGCGCATTGAGGACAGCCGCCGTAGCCAGGTGCACCACGCCCTTCTCTGGACCAATCTGGTGGGAAGCGAGGCACAGCAGCACGTCTTAGGCATGAAAAAGATACTCAGGTCTTCTAGCCAGTAACATGCTGACATTTCAAGAATTAAAAGGCAGCGATGGAAACTCACCTAAAGTGTTTTTGTTTTTTAAAATAGTTTATAACCTATAGAAGAGTAGCAAGAAGAGTGTGAAAAAACCCTGTCTCTTCCTCTCTCTCATTCTCAATTTCTGTATTTGTATACATATTTAGGGCTAAAAGGGCATAGTCTCTGCAACTTTACTCTCAACTGGTTCAGAAAAAAAACTGTGTACACGTGGGAGAAGAGGTCCACAAGTGCAGAGACTTTGCTCATTCAGGATCCAAATCCGTCCAGATTCAAGTCTTACAGAAAAGAACCAATTACCTCAAAATACTCTTTATCTAAATGGCCCAAACCCTACTTACCGGAATAAAATATTTTACCTTAAAATTGTAAACCAATCTCTATTTTCTTATTTGTTGCCATCGAAGGACATCTAAGATCTTAATAGCATTATTTATAAAAGCATTTTACCAAATAAGCCCCTTACCCATCTGAGCTGCCCATCACTCGTGAGCTGCCTGTAGAAGCCTCTGAAGTCACTGACAATGTCCCTGAGGTCCTTGTTGAGCACATGGTGGGCAAGGGCATTCACAGCACAGACAACTGTTACAAAAGGATTTGATTCTTGTTTATATTTTGGTACAAAGTCAATAAATCAAGACATGAAAACATCAGAAACAAACTATTGTGGGCATTTTTATGAAAAACTAAATATGAAAGGTATATGCTTTTTAAAATTGCCCCAAATATATCTTCTGTGGTTGTCATAAAGAACATCACACAAGTAGAGTAGTTTTTAATCCATATACTGAGCTTAATTTCTGAGATCAGACACATTTTGATTGGTTGACATGTGAAAAACAGAACCACAGATCTGCAAATTTAAACAATGTTCCCAAATTATTTTCCTATTCAACTTTGTAAAGTGATTGGAAAATCAGGTTCAAAGCCAAACCTTGCTAGTGCATTGTTCCCGAGAAATAAGAGGACTCTAACTCGCAGAATTAAAAAAAGTGCCTTTTCATTATTGTCAAGGATAGAAAATACCTAGAATTCACAACATAACAAACTATTAAAGATTAAATGAAATAAATTTGAAATTAGCATAATACTTACATGTAAAATGTTAAAGTACATGAAAACACGGTTTCCATAAATATTAAATTTCTTACTATTGACCTACTTATGAAATACTACATTTTTTTTGTTGTTGTTGTTCTTTTTGAGACCAGCCGCACCGCGCTCAGCCAGTGAGTGCACCGGTCATCCCTATATAGGATCCGAACCCGCGGCGGGAGTGCACTCTCCCGAGTGCACCACGGGCTCGGCTCTGAAATACTACATTTTTTGTAAGTAGTTTGAAGGTTAAACTGAATTTGGGTCAGCATTACCGTCAATTATTTATTTTTGGTGCTTTGCCTTAAAAGGCTTTATTGTGTTATTTAAGATGAAGAATAAGTAAAGTAACAAATTGTATGGGAAAGCCCCTCCTATCCTTTCCTCATTCTAGGACACAATTGGTCCATATGTAAATGACCAAAGTAGTCATCGACTTAGCCCCAAAGCAATTACTTTATTACAAAACATTTTAATAAACTTTTTTTGAGGAACATGCTAATTATCCTGATTTGATCGTCACACCTGGAACATAGGTATTGATATTCAACTCTGTACCCCACAATATGTTCAATTATTTTTCAATAAAAATTAAAAATAAAAAATAAAAATGAAAAAAAAATTTTTAAATAAACTTTTTCTCAGGTGTTGCCATTGCTTTAATAGTAAAGCTTTTGGGTCATTTAATGGACTAGTTGTCGAGCTGCAGTTTTCCCACCAGTCAGATCCTATGCAAAAGGCATTTTGAAAGCAGGACCACATGCTCGTAGGATGGGCCTGGCCTCTGTGAAGCAGCTCTCAGACGACTGCGCACCTGCTGTGGGATGCAGCACTTAGGGCTGAACCAGCCAGTCCAGGTCCTCTAGGGCTTTCGTCGATGTGACACACCATCATTCCAGTTCAGATATTCATTCCCTAGGACAGTGAGAAGACAGAATCCTCCCCACTCCTCGATGGTTGATGCTTTGGGTTTAAAGAACATCTGAAGAGTAAGTCAGTGACTCATAGTGAGGTATATTATTATCCATATCAAACCTCTGTCTCATGGATTTGATGCTTGCTATAAATCACTGACTGGACATACCTCGGGTTTGCATCACAATAGCAAATGCATTTAACAAAAGCTAAGGATGATCTCATCTTTTACAGCTCTAAGAGATGCACGAGCAACACTAATATATTCATCTATAGTTTGTGGCTTTTCGTTGCTCAACATGAGGCCGCTGCAAGAAGTTAAACAAAATTTGCTGCATTCGATAGACATTTGGGTTGTGGTGGTCTGACTCCAGCATGGTGAACAGTCCACTTCAGGTTTGCATGTTTGACGGGATGGATGTGAAATTCATCTAGAAAATACTGGCCCTTGAAAGCGGCTCCTTGCTGACTAAACCCAAGGGTCTTCTCCTGTGACTGTGCATGGACCTCAATTCCCTGAAGCCCTACAAGCACTCAGTCAATGGACACTCAAGTAAAGCCTGTGGATGACTGTGGGTGTCTGAGCCAAAGTGGCCGCATGAACCCTTGAGGCAAACTATGGACTCTGGGTGATGTGTCAGTGTGGTGCATCGATTGTAACAAATGTCCCACGCTGGTGGGGGATGTTGATAAGGGGGAGCTGTGCCTCTGTGGGGGCAGGGGGTATATGGGAACTCTCTGTACCTTCCACTCAATTTTGTTGCAAACTTAAAATTGCCCTGAAAAAATAAAGTCTTTTTGAAAGCAGGAGAAAATGGTTAAGTAAATTTAATAAGGACATAAGTTGAAGAAAAACCACCCAACAAAAAACCACATTTGTGTATTCTATACATTAAAAAAACCCTTCCGGGCCGGCCCCGTGGCGCACTCGGGAGAGTGCGGTGCTTGGGTGCGCAGCAGCGCTCCCGCCGCGGGTTTGGATCCTATGTAGAGATGGCCGGTGGGTTGCGATCCCCTTACCGGTCACAAAAAAAAAAAAGACAAAAAAAAAAAAAAAAACCCTTCCTATCCCCCACCCCCATACACACAAGCACTCTCTTCACGATAATGAGAACAGCCCTATTTTTTTCTTTTTTTTTTTTTTGGACCGGTAAGGGGGCCCAAACCCCCCCCCCCCCCCC